CCCCCCCAAAGGCATTTTGCACCCCGGCAAATTACATATATTTTGATTTGATAGTTTCATATTTGATTATTCTTACTACTAAATTTGTAAAATTACCAATATTATGGTCTCAGATCTCGCCATGCAGGCCTAGAAAACAAATTTTGTTAAACTTTTTCCTTGGCCTTTCCGGGCATTGCCACCACGCCCCGGCCAAAGCAAGCAGCAGCACCCCCCAGATATACAAAAATATGAAAATCCGTCTCTGGTTCTAACAAGTCCCATACAGTCATGATATAACAAAAATATTACAAGGTTGTAACAATATCATAACTGTATCTGACTTGTTGGAACAACCTTGTTACAAGTTGTCAACAAGTTGTTTCATACTTGTTGACAACTTGGGACAAGAAGTACAAACAGAACTTGTTGGCAGACTTGCTACAAGGCGTGAGATTTTCACATGCATAGTTGCTGACGTGCCTCGACAGATATTTGATCCACTGTGTAAATGATCAGTTGCCTCACAAGCATTTGATAGAGCCCTACTGTCAAATGGATGAATACATTCCTAAACAGGGGGGTGTCATACTATACACATGTCAACACGTACTTTCTGTAGGCATTTTCTCCACAAAATCATCTCTAATGGTCGATTCAGTATCCTTCAAACACGTCGCATTAAACTGAATTATGTCTTTATCATAAATAGCAAGCTGGGCAAGCCCTAGTAGCTCATTATCTTCGTCCTCCGATTCGGAGTCGGAGAAACATAAAATTGTTGGTAGTTTCACTTGCTCGGCGCTCGAGGTCTGGCCTTTGTTGACAATTTCATTTTTGAGCGTCCCGTCTTTACCACAGCGATGCCGCGGCCTGTATTTTGGATACGTCGGACATTGGTCTCTATTATACGGAATATATTTCTCCTTGTCGTTAGATTTGACCCTGATGTCGTCGAATTCCTTTTGTAAAATCGTGTATTCTGGATACATAAATTGGTGACACCGCTTGCACAGCGGCCCGTGCGAGGGGCTTTGCAAGACGATATCGCAAATAACACACACTTGTGAAACTTCATCGTACACTAGATAGTCTTCTACATCAGATTCTGCGTCTTCGTTTTCGTCACTGTCCGAGATTTCGTCCTCATCTTCTGGTAAAGGTGTACTACACGCTTGCAAAAATACAGTCTCGCCTTCCATTTTCGTTCGAATCTCCATCGATCAAACAAACAATGTTTCCACTTGGAATTCCTGTTTTTCTGGGTTTTTGTAGAAATTCCTGTTTTTGTACCAGCGTAACCAGTTTCTTTCAGGATCATTTACCATATTTATTTGCATAAATTACAGTATTTTTTGAAGTAGGAGGAATGCGCTCTTCCCCCCCCCCCAAACCCCCGCCGCCACAAAAGCCCGGAAAGTGTATTTTGCAGGGGGAAGGGGATACCTACGGGGGAAAACAGATAATTTGTAGGAAGGCGTAGGGGATCGAACTTGTATTGCTATTTTTTGCATATTTTTATTGCCATTGACGAATGGCAATAAAAATATGCAAAAAATAGCAATACAAGTTCGATCCCCTACGCCTTTTCCTGCGGAAAAAGGCACTTAGCTAAACCATAGTCTAAACTTTGCTTCACTCCAAGGTGAATTTAATTAAACAGTGAACAGACAACCACTTGATTTGGAGTCATTAATCATCTCCCTCCCACAGGGGCGTGGAAACCGGGGGGAGCAACATGCCCCCCCCCCCATTTTTTTAAAGGACTAAAAGTGCCCTTTTTTGTGATGAAAAGTGCCCTTTTTGTACAAGCTAATAATGTCGCTGTAAATACTAAATTAACATCAAAGGTGCCCTTTTTGTTTGGAAATTTCCATGTTTTTTTAAAAAAAGGTGGTCAAAAACGTGCAATTTCGGCATGGTATGATTTCCGAGAAAAATTTTTTAGCTGCCCTTTTCAATGTCCTAAAGTGCCCATGGTCGTTTGATGATTCCTACGCCCTGCCCTCCCACATGAAGACAATTTGAAGAAATCTCCCGCATTTCTTGCAGGGCCGGCATTACTGAGGCGGGTGTGGGGAGCCCAACTTGCCTAGAGGCCCTAGAGCGGGCCCCGGAACGCTGGAATCGAGGAACGTGTTAAGTATTAAGGAATTTTCTGAAAAATTGAGGTCGAAAAAGTTCTGAGAAAGTATTTTTAAGCCCCCATTATCTCAAAGTAATTTATGGAAAAATTTTTAGGACGTTTTGTTGTCGGAAAAAACACAAAATGCGATGTGCTGGAATTTTTTGCGGAATTTAAATGCATTATTCTTTGCTTTCCCTCTGCAATGTTTTATCCCCCTCCCCCTGAGGGCCCCTTCCCCTGATTCCTTATCCCCTCCCCCTTATCCCTAGTTAAAAATTCGCCCCAGGCCCAAAATGTCAAAACGACATGTGTGGGATAAAGTGTGGTATTTTGGGATAGCATTGGTAATTTATGGACATTTATGGTGCATGCAATCGAAACTAAATAAAATATTGCATATAATTTTCTAAGAACACCTGCAGTTTGTCATGTGTACAAAAATTCATTGTAAAACGATGGGATTTCCCGGTTTTTGCCATTTTCCGCTTACGTTTCGTTTTGAAAAGCGTTCATTTTCACACTAGTTCATCGTTTGCTTTCCTCATGGCCGGAACAGTTCGCATTTCTCCTGACGATCTAGTCGATGTTTTAGCAAAATTAGCGAAGGATGGTAATCTCCAAGTATCCGTGAAACAAAGCGTGAAAGGGGGAGTAATCGCTGGCACTGGCGCAACGGTTGGCGGATTACTTGGAGGTCCCGTTGGTATTGCTGTTGGCGCCACAATTGGTACGTATATCAAGGGTTGCAATTCTTATCTAATAATATCTTCTTATATTAGTTATATAATATATCAATATTCTCATCTATTCCACTAGCTTGTAAAGTATATGGTATGAACCGTGTCACAATTTTCCCTCTCACCACAAACGATTGTTCAAATGTTAAGCTGTTACTGTTGTCATAAACTAAGTTAATTCCACTTTGAAATTTCTTTTCGGATGTTTGTCAGTCAAAGCCGTGATAAATTTCACTATCGGAGGCATTTAAAACTAGGTTTTCTGTTCTCTACAAATGCATGACTTCGTAAACCAATGTTTCTCAGATTTGCTGTTTCTAGGAAATTTGCATATGGGTGAGCCACAAGGCACACTAAGGGGCCGATGTAGCCTCATCTGCAAGGAGTGGCCGTTGCAGGTTTTACATGGGGTAGTGCTCGATAGGAGGGGCCTGTACCGGGTTCCGAAATCCCGACCGATTTTCACTTCAAATCCCGTTATCCCGCCATGGCTCATCCCAATTTCCCGCTCCCGACTTTTTTTCTAACACTGTTCAACGTATTATGATTTAAAGAACATGGTAACGACATAAGATACAATTTGAATACACTAGAATACAATACAACAAAGTTTAAAATAATCAATTACTCTAAATCGCGACTCTCATGAAAGCAGCAATCATATACATGTAAATGGGGGATTGATGGGGGTCAAATGTTCGATATCATCCTTGAAAACAGTAATTTCGAGCACACAAACAAATGACAACAGATCAGCTAACGTACAGCTACAAGTTTTGTTGATTTATCCCGCTAATCGTGGGTTACTTCCCGCATATCGCCATGGTATTTTTATTAATCCCACTTCCCGCGATTGAATAAAATCCCACTTCCCGCCAATATTTCTCTTAAAATCCCGAATCCCACTTGAATTTTAGACGCATCCTGCAAAACCGGTACAGGCCCCTCCGATAGGGGCACGCACATTATGCTTAAAAAATTGCCTATTATATGCTTATGCTTAGTGCTCCTGACTTTGCCTATTATGCTCAAATTTTTTCCCTATTATCCTGTTAATTATGCTACCTCATATTCAATTTTCAATTTAACGTAAATTCAGGTACGGTAATTTAATTAACGCTTGTTATATTGTAGCATAACGGAGGTCCAAGCAACAGGCGGTTGGCGCATATGCTTATTATGTAATTAGTACTAATTACGTTGGCAAAATGACGTAATACCAAAACTTTTGCCTATTATGCTCACTTTCTGAAAATTTTGCCTATTATGCTCAGTCTCAAAAAAGCGCCCTATTATGCTAAAAGAAGTGCCAGCATAATGTGCATGCCCCTAGTGCTCAAGGGAACCTGCCCACTCTCCTCTGCAGTCTGCAACGTTACTATCCCAACGTTACCAGTATTTGAGATGGCAGAATCTGTGTGTTCGCCGTTACGTTTGACATTATCTTTTGTTTGTGAAGTTTATATCGGTTTTTATCACATACTGTATGTGTGACTGGACATTTATGATATTTATAGCACAGTACAGTAAATTTGCTTGTTAATTAAAGTACAGTATATTTGAAAATATAGCTGTGTAAAAACCTCGACATGTTTACATAATTATGTAACCATGTTTAACTAAAGCAGCAAATCAATGAAATCTTTTCAAGAAATTGACACACGCTAACAGTGGAAGTTCCACTAACTGCTATTCGAAAAGCAGAAAATGTATGGTCAAGCAGATTTTTTAGGGTGGTGCTGGACTTTTCTTGGGGGTGCTATAGGACACCACTAGGTGGGGTGCCCACCCTCACGGTAGATCACCTCCCATCACACATGCACATTCACCAGCCCTCGAAAACTGTCAAAATCTAAATCTAACCTAGGTTGGCACGTCTCGGCATTTTTTTAAATCTGTTTCCATGTCTAAAGCACCAGTCATCACGTATTTGCGAATCATTGAAATCGGAATATAAATTAAAGCATGCTTTTTTCGCAAGCTACAGTAACACGACGGCTTTTCTTTTGGAGTCGCTGACTCTTTAACAGCTATCAGCACCGACAAATTTTTACTTTGACTGAATTAAGGTTGGCAAAAATTTGCCAACCTGGGAGGTTGATATTTAGGTCGACATGGCCGAATGCTGACCTCATTTTGGAGGGCTGCATTCACACAATATTTTTTACTGCCAAGGTGGACTGATTGGTGCATATACAACCAGTGGTACATTCAAATCGGTGTGTTCAATATTACAAGAGTTAACTCCAATCGAGAAGGAGAAATTGCATCGATCAATCACGATGGCACTTGGAGATGTCGGCATGCTGGATGTTGCTGCTGTGGGAGTACTTATAGCAACAGATCAAGTATACAAACAGCAAATGATTGGGGCGATGATGGAGTACTTTAGGGATGAATTACAAATGGAAGTTGTTGAGTGACACAGAAGTAAAGTGGCAATCTTGTGGGATGCTTCAATGTTTTTGAGTGATCTGATTTCAAATAACACCAAATATTAAATTTATTTATTAGAATAACTGTAAAGCCGCAAGAATATACAGCACCATATAGAATACTTACAACATCTAGTTTGTGTGCACAATTTTTACCCACTTTGCCCCCTACTTTGTTATTGCTGCCGAGCGTAGCTCGGCAGCACACTAATCTCTACACGTGGTGTGCTTACCACGTGACCGCCGAGTTTATAGCCGCTACAATCTCGATTTATGTCATTCTGTCATCCACGGACGGGCCAAAACTAGCTGTTTTGATATTATTTTTTTGTTCCCGGGGGGGTTTGTTCACAACATGGCAACTGTTATAAACAGACAGAAATATAAAAATCATAAAATAATGCGAATTTCCATAAAAATTCCGAGTAATATTTGTGAAGATGAATGGGTAAATAAAGCACGGTGTTATTTTGTGTCTCTGGCGCAAGAATGATCGACAATATTTTGAATAATTCAGGTAAGGATGGCTTTATTTCGTTCTCGTATAGTGATGTAGTCGTGCCCTGTCTACCTGTCTGGTGATATATTTTATAATACGTGAAGGCATTTATATTTAAATCTGCTGTTTATACTTGTTTAGTCACTTTAGTGTATTAAACTTCGATATAGAGGCATTGAAACAAAATGATTTCAAGAATATATCGGCAAGTATAATACCCACTGAATCACTGATCTATTCCCGACCAAATCGACAGTAATGATTAATGCCTTTATGCTGATACAAGAAGCAAATGAACTTTTAGTTTATTTGTTTGTTATGTCACTTTATATGTGCAAAGCCAAAGGCGGTGAGTATATAATAGTGTTCGGTACGGTTCTATTTCTAAATGTTTATAGTTTAAAAACAAACGCGGGATGTTGTTAAATCAGGCTTAACAAGATTCCTAGAGCTACCCAGTGTGGATTGTTGTCTGCATATATGGACTTATCAGCAATTACATGTAATATAGCATATCAACTGACTTTTGTATAAGATATGACTTGTATAAGGCCTCAGTTATATATAAAACCTATAAACATGATTCTACTGACATACATTGATATATACATATGGCTGTGTTACCACAATAATGCTCACAACTTCAACTTCTTTCTAACAATATAGTTTTGCAGTTCTGACTGTTTTGAGTATGATCTTATTCATTCAGAAATATAAGCATTGCACTGTATTCAATGGCAAGCTATCCTGGATTCCAGAGCCTTCAGTTAATAATAAATTGAAA